ACCATGATCTAAACAAAATTTTATCATTCGTCGACGTTGACGAGCATCAGAAATGTCAAGTGCAAAAAATAAACCATTACGACCATCTTCTGTTGATACATTTAAATTATATTTATGACGAATATATAATTCAAGTTGTTCATATCGTGCTTGATGAATAGCATTGAGCACTTTTGTTTCTAATAGTTGCATCGTATTTATATACACATACACACGTCGATATAATGATAATGAATTTGCTTTTTCACTTTTCAAAATAGTGTTTCGAATGTCTGTTGTTGCTGTGCAAACATACAATCGAATTTTTGTAATAGCACTTTAGAAAAAAATGAATAGAAAAAGAAAAGAACGAGAACGAGTAAAATTTTTTATGCGTGTGTGTTGACTAATTATAGTTGGTGAATTCTTTTTATTTTAAAGAATGTTCGATGATTGATTGACATAAACAGCAGCAGCAGTACATATTACTTTTCATTGGATCTTCATAGTTGTTCTAACTAATTTTGTCTGTGTAATTTTTAACTGTATATCTCCGAAAATACTCATTTCTTGCTATTAATTTTCATCGTTAAAGAAAACTTTAAAATAATTGTTGTTTATTTTTTACAATATTCTGAATATTAAATAAAACAACATTATATTTTCAATTTCTTCTCTAAACTATTACAATTCAAAATCAATGAATTAATACGCTCAGAAATTATTTTTTCTAATGCAAAATGCAGTATTCAAATCATTTTTTGCTTTAAATCTTGTCTGAATACTATATATATTGGAGTTGTTCCAAACAACAATAATTTCAAAAAGAAAATATCCTTGAAGATACAGCTGTATACTTACTAAAGATTTATTTCCTTTGTAAAATTCAATTTTTTTATACAATAAAAAATCTAATGAAATTTATTCATAAGTAAATTAGAATACAATAAAAGACAGTTTAATGAGTAGCATTAGCTTTATTTCGTTCAACTGCTTCTTTGACTGCTTGTTCCAGAGAAACAGTTTTTACACCTAAAGCATCATTACTTGTTTTGCCTCGAAAATCACTTGCACCTTGTTCACTATATATCGCACTCATAATATATCCTCGATACCCTTTCACTATATCACCTTTTGCCACAGAATCTGCACCTTGTTTAAGTGAATCTTCGGTAGTTATATGTTTCACTGTCCATTTTGTACCAGAATATTTTTCAAAAAGAGCTAAAGCTTGTTGTTGTGTAAATGATGCATCAGCAATATAAATGCGTTTGTTCAAAGTTAATTCTGGATGGTGAATAATAGCGGCAACAGCTTTACCAATTGATGGAAGAGTTGTAGCTGAAATGTAATTTTTGCCTTCATCATAAAGAGTAACAGTATGCTTGGAAATATCAAAGCCAAGAAAGCCATTGTCAAAACCCCAATCAAGAAAACCACCAGTACTAATTAATGTGTGTGCTATACGTGATTGATGTTTTTTTAATAATTCAATAGCTTCAAGTTTTCCACTTACGAAAGGAATCGATGAAAAGCGTGGATGATTTGTATCAGCAGTAAACTCTGATGGAATATACCATTTAACACCAGCTTCGACAGATGCTTCAATTAATGTTAGATCTAATTTTTCAAAATGAGCACTACCACCAATGGCAGAAATTACGACATCCTGACCAGTTAGTGCTTTTTTAATTTCATTTTTGTCTTTATAATCGACTTTAACTACTTTTGCATTCGATGGAAATGTAGACTTGGAGTCAATTCGAGTAAGAACTGTAACATTAAAGGATGAATCAGCAAGTAGAGCATTGAGAATATGTTTGCCTGCGTCACCCGCACCACCAACGAGAATAACATTTTTGTATGTAGTAGACGACATTTTTACTTTGTTAAGAAAGAATACGTATGAATATAAATTATCGTTTGTACGTGTACGTATATATACACGTTTCTTATTCTATTGCAACGATGACGTTGTATTTTTGTTCTCTTTCTGCTGATGTCATACTTTCAATGCATTTTTACCTTGTGTATTCTGTTTCGATTGTCATATGAACATGATCATATATGACAATGCATATTTTACGGATACATAATTAATTTGGATAATTTTTGCATTTAATTCATTCATTTATAATTTTTTATGTGTATTTGACTTCATGTTTATTTTAAAGCTCTTAAAAATAGCAGCAACATTATTAATAATATAGTATTATTTTTCTATAAGTCGAGATAACCATCATATTAGCCTCCGTATATACTCGTATCTGAAAATCGTTTATTTAATAAAATATCGAAAAATAGATCATAACTCTTCCATGACAATGAATAATCAACAATGATAGCTTATTGTGAAATATTATTATGTATATAAATTGTGACATACACTTTTACATTATATAAAATATGAGTGAATAGTTTTATTTTGTTAAAAAGTTTTCTTCATTACCATCTTTTGTAATTTAACAGTTTCATGTCATGTGGCACAAAAACTTCTCACGATTCTAGATTATCTATCTGCCTTATAGTTTATGATATCGTTATGAACACTTATGATGATAATTATCTAGTAGGAATATATTATATCATACACTCTGAACATTTTCTTTTTTATAGTAGAAGAGATATAAAACAATTCCATCGAGTACCAAGACTTTTGGATCACTCTTTATAAAATTCCAGTTGACTTGAACATTCAAATGTAAATAAAGTTTGTGAAATATAAAAATTGTCTTACCCATAATCCAAGGTCAAAATAGAATTAAGTTTCTACTAATACAACTACAATTTCAATATATTCCCACTTTTATCTATGTATTAATTGATGCAAGCAGTGTGCTAATCAAATAAGAGAACATATCTGCATTATAATGGTCGTGACAAGCAGGTGAAATTCAATTAAATTCATAATATTTTTATTCAGCATTGTTCTTTTCTCATATTTATTTAAGTATTAAAATATCTAGATGAAATATGACGTTTATAACTAAGTATCATTTACACATGCAAAATAGTGGGTACTGTCCCGTAAGAGTCTAATTATAGATGAGACATTTATAGGAAGTATATTTTGTATGTTATTTGCTATGTGTTTAAAGTTACTAAATATTATTTAGCAATATGTATGCGAAAAATAAGTAGCATTCTAGAAATATGATACCTACTCAAAAACAATTTACATTGGATATATATGTTATTTAAAAAAAGGAAGTGATTTGTGCATATTTCTATATAAAAACACTCGTGCTGAGCCTAAAAATCATTCACATTTTCAAAACTCGTACAAAAATGAAGACATCTATTATTATTATTGTTATCTGTCACATGTTTTCATATGCATCAGCACAAGGTAAAAACAAATAAGATATATATATATATGTATAGATAAGTTTTTGTTCGTATATTTTCTTGTAGGTTGCAGTAACAATGTATGCGACTTAGGTGATTATTTCAATGAGACAAATGGTTATCGTTGTTACGATTTGGGTGCTGGTAGTACTTTATGTACATGTCCTGGTAGTGCATACGAGATTAATCAACCTTGTCGTATGAAAATAATACAACACAGTAAACATTAAAAGAAAGTTACTTATATTTTATAGGTCTTTGTAACCGAGCAAATCCTGCAAACAATGTGTGCAGAAATAACAATGGAAAGCTGATTCAATGTCTTGAAAGTAATGACAGTGGGACATCGTATGCATGTGCTTGTATAGATACAACCACAGGAGATTTAGCACTAACAACAAATGCTGATTGTGGTCAGTAATAGATACAAACTTCTTTTCTACAAATACTAATTCTAATTACCGTTTGTTTTTTCTTCATCTAGACACAACAGTTCCATTGACAGGCTCCTCAACAACATATCCTTCAACTTCATCAGCATGCTTGAATGGTGGTGTTTTTACCGATGGCATTTGTCATTGCCCATCTGGTTATAGCGGAGCAATCTGTCAAGATAAAAGCGGTAATATTCTTTATTTTTACTAATATAATTATCATCTTGGTCCTCTCTATTGTTTTCTGCTATTTATTGTTCAGATTATAATTTATGCGAAAAAGTTCGATGTAAAAATAACGGTGTTTGTGCTATTCAAAATCCAGATGGACCAAACCAAAGTGTTTGTCTTTGCCGATATGGTACCTGGGGAGATTATTGTGAATTAAAAGGTAAATGGTTTTTCGCTATCTTACTATCAAATTATAATTTTACAATAGGTACTTTGGGTTTTTGTTCGGCAAGCTTATGTTTAAATGGAGGAGCTTGCACAGAAAATGTTATTGGTTCAACACGTTTTGCTTATTGTGAATGTGCGCCAGGTTATAGTGGTACCAAATGCGAGACTAGTATGTCTTCATATTGATTTTTAACACATCAGAAATCATTCTTGTTTGTTATAGAATATTTTACTTGTTCCACTCCTGGTAGTTTTCCTGATACTGATATGCATGAGCAAGGAAAATATTTTGAATGTAAAATGATATCTGGATGTAAGAATCCATACATAATTTGAAGTTTTATATAATTTATTCATTTCGTTTCTTATTCATAGCATTACGCATCGAAAGAAAATCATGTCCAAAAGGACTTCGTTTCAATACAATTTCAAAACTTTGCACGTATTAAGAGCCTAATAATTTATTATTTCACTTACGTGTAATCAATAACAAATATTGTTTTTATGTGCTTTTGAATCATTTAAATAACTCAATAAAATGAGTTACATATATATATATTTACATTATCAACTTTTACTAGACTTAAAAGAAAGAATCTTGTGCTTAGAAATGAAATTTGTATGATTATGTGGAGATTAGTAGAAAGATTCATATGAATTCCAATTGAGAAAATCATCAAGTTTAGCACATAATAAAACATTTTTTTCTTTTTCTTTCTATACAAAAATAATCATACATTGTAATTGCGACATAATTTGATATACAGTAGTATTGCACAATAGTTAGAAAGAACAAAATACTATGAAAACATTCATTAAGAATAATTTAACAAAACAACGATGAGACGTGAGAATAAGTATGGAACAAGTAAGACTATTCGATTTTGTCAAAACTCTTTTGAAATATGGTCACAACAGTATTCATCTGAACGACCGTCTATAAACAAAAGAAATCGTTGGAAACTGTTAGATCTATTAAATAAATATGCTGAATCACCAGATTTTTCTAATAAAATTGTTATTCGTCGAAATTACAATTTCTGTGAATATGATGGCTATGAATCTAGGTTACGAGAAAATCCACCACCCCATCCTAGTTTTTCACGTAAACCTGATTTTGTTTATCAGCCTTATGTAAACTTTATCAAAGTAAATCAAGATAAATTCGATTTAATGTTTCAAAATGGGTGCAAATTATCGGAAATTAAAAATAATTTCGAAGATTTAATTAATATTGATGCATATGATGGTCCTGTAATGTTAATCTATTTTATAAATGATTCAAATCAGTATTATTCACCAGATTGGTTTCAGGCATTGAGACATGCTTCTGGTGGTTCTTTCGCTGGTTATCATACAATTTATGTGGGTGATTATTGTTCTTTCGGACCCAAAATTCGTGGACAGCAACAGTCAGACTCAAGAATTAATCAGATTGTGTTGATTCTTACAAATAATGACATAGAAAAACGGTGTGGTTATTATTCTGTCGGTTACTATAAATGTCTTACAAAAGCTGATCAATTTGGATGTAAAAGTAGACGAAGTGAATTGAAAAGTCAACGCAGAAGCAAGCATCTATTAACCAAACAAGTTAAGATATCTGAGGATCTGTATTGAATGGAATATTTGTTAATAAATCTTAGAGATCGTTAATGGACTTACATCTATATACGCACAACCATGGGGAGAGGGAGGGTGTGGGTATAGGTGAGTGTGCGTATGAATTTTTATCAAAGTCTTCACCAAAACCTAGCTATTCCTAAACCCATACCCACACCCACAAATCTTCCCATCCACATCTCCTCAACGTAATAAGGCGTCGAAGATTTTCTTTTTTTTATAATCGGACTGCCTCACTGCATTTGAGATGTAAGTTGGAAACAAAGATAACAACCCAGGAAATTGAAATGTTGACGTCATGGAGAGTCACATCATAAAACAGATCTATAAAAGCGCTCGAAGAAGTTTGATATTACATTCTTTTTACTTTCTTCGTTAATGCATTCCGCAACATGAGTAGTTCACTCAATCTGATCCTTCTGATCGCTTGTATCACAATCATCACGGTTACATATGCTCGCAGTGTGAACATTTCGCATCATAATGATCTTGATAAGTTACTAAAATTACGTGAGGTTAGGCAATCGTGCACAACTCACCTCGATTGTGGTGAACACGGCTCTTGTCAAAATTATGTATGCCGATGCGACAAAGGATATATTAATTGGAAAAAATCAGACATCTGTTCATACAAACAAAAAACAAAACTAGAGGCCTTTCTCTTTTCGTTCTTCTTGGGTAGTTCGGGCGTTGATTGGTTCGTTTTATCAAGAGGAAATAGAGGATATATCGCTACTGGTGTTTTCAAAATCATTTTGTCATTGGGATCTTTTGTCGCAATACCTCATGCTTTCGCGCGTAACGGCGAGGCAGTTGGTCGCAATAGTTGTCTGTGTACTTTCGCCTCAAGCATCTGGTATTTAGTGGATTGGATCCGAGAGCTGGCAAATGCTTTCCAAGGCGGCAATGGTGCACCACTGAAGCCATGGTAACAAGCTTTCGTAACACGAACAACTATCTGATAATGAACTATATCAAGACAGAATATGAGCTTTTCTAATACTTTTTATCTGTTTGTTCGAAATTTTACCACATTATGCAAGAAACATGCTGATCTATCTCTAAGCTTGTGCGAAACATTTTTGAAACTTCTGAGAGTGGGAATGTCGGTGTTCGTGAGGGTGTGGGTCTTTCTTCTGCTATACCGACACCCATACCCACACCCTAAA